TGATATATTCACTTTTATATTTGTGTGAGGGTCATAATTGAAACCGCCCTTCAATAACGGTGCAAAGCGAGAACTGTGGTAAGGGCCTAGCTAAAAATAATGGTAATAATTAGTAACTATCCTCCTGTAACTGCCACTCTGGGACCACACAGCTGCTGGTCATAAAGATTCTTAACTTCCTCTATAGATAAACATCACCTTTTTGAAACCTAAAGATAGTTTTCAAGATATCTTCCAGATTCCGCATTCCAGTAGATTGATTGACCCATCCAGACCAGCAGCCCATACCAAGAAACCGACTCAACTGGAATTGTCACCCCAGGGACTGAAATAACACAAGAAGATGATTCCTATACCCCTAATAATTTTGCCCTAACAAACTTAATTGCCTAATCCCTTGCCTGCCAAGCTATCCTAAAAAACCCTGTCTCCCAAGTTCTCGGGGAGGTGGATTTGAGAAATTTCTCCTGTCTCCCCGCTTAGCGCTATGGGGAATAAAGAAAGACTCTTTCTGTGCCAAAAAACCTGATGACTCAGCATATTGGGTTCTTGGGCAGTGGGCAAATGAACCTGGTTGGACGGCAGCATGATTTTACCTTTTGATTTGAGAATTATCCTTAACACATGAAATGTTTCCCTCTTATATACATATCAATTTTTTCTTTGCATGAATAGATTATGTTATATCCACTTTTCCTGTCTAGTGGAATCAATGAAATTTAGCAGAAAAAAGTTACAATTGAAGCATTTCAAAATTTTAGTCTTACCCTATGAGAGATCTTGAAGGACTGAGAATTTCCACTGTGATCCTTACATGTCCTTCTCTCCCATAACTGTTCCTCCCTACGCTTCTTGATAAAGATCGGATTGTCCAAACAATGGCTGCTAATCTACAGGAACAATTCTTCCTTTAAGCAACGGCTTCTGAAACTAGCTAAACTTACACTGAGCCTTCTTGTGTCTTGTGTTTTCAAATAAAAGCTTATGCTAATAGTGCTCTGAAAATATGCAAGTGGAAGAGTTAATTTGTGTGCGTGTGTGTGTCTGGGTCTAGCTCTGTCACCCAGGCTGGAGTGCAGTGGTGCTAATTTAGCTCATGCAACCTCCACCTCCCAGGCTCAACTGATCCATCCTCCTCCCTCAGCCTCCTGAGTAGCTGAGACTACAGGTGCGTACCACCATGCCTGGCCCTGGAAGAGTTAATTTTATTTTCCATCTATGTATTGAACATCTATAATGTGCAGTATAGGTTAGTTATTTTGTAAAATCTCTCAGTAGGAGTTTTTTTGATGTCTCCTCATAATTAGATTCAGTTTATGGGTTTGTGCAGGATATCACGATTGCGATGTGGTGTCCTTGATGCTTCCTATTAAGAGGCACATGATGTTAATTGCTCTCTTATGGGATACCTTTGTTAGGGTTGTCATTTCTCCACTGTAAGTTAATATTTTACCCTATTAACTAATAAGATTAAGAGATATTTCGAGAGTATGTAAATATCCTATTTTTCCTCAATCTTTTGCTTATTACTTTTTAACATCTTACTTTTTGCCTCAGTTATAATTAGGATGGCTACCAAATGGTGATTTTCTATCATTTCTTCCATATATATTAGTAGCCTTTCTATGGTAAGGAAGAACTTTCCTTTCTCCCTTATTTATTTAATTTCACTATGAACTCATGGATTCTTGTTTTAATCAATATGTTTCAATATCCTTCATTATAATTATTTCACTGCTCAAATTTTTTCTGATTTGGCCAGTGGGAGCCCCTTCAATCTGGCTCTTATATCCTTTCAGCATGTCTTCTTTAATCTTTGAGCGTTTACTTATTTTTGGTACAGTGAGATTTTCTAGGCTCATCTTGTACTTTCCTTCCCCATCCCTAGAATGAGGCATTTCTCCAAGGAACCCCAATTCTTTTTAGTGGAGGATGATATTTAGAAACCAAGATCTGGCTGGGCGCGGTGGCTCACGCCTGTAATCCTAGCACTCTGGGAGGCCGAGGCAGGTGGATCGTTTGAGCTCAGGAGTTCAAGACCAGCCTGAGCAAGAGCAAGACCCCCATCTCTACCAAAAATAGAAAGAAATTAATTGGACAGCTAAAAATATATATGGAAAAAATTAGCCGGGCATGATGGCACATGCCTGTAGTCCCAGCTACCTGGGAGGCTGAGGCAGGAGGATCGCTTGAGCCCAGGAGTTTGAGGTTGCTGTGAGCTAGGCTGACGCCACGGCACTCTGGCCTGGGCAACAGAGTAAGACTCTGTCTCAAAAAAAAAACAAATAGAAACCAAGATCTGTGCTTTAGGTGTGCTCACTGCCACTGGGCTGTCATTGCTTCTAGGATCTCTTACAAGACAAAGATAGGAACTAGATAGATATATGTATATATGTACTCACACATACATGTTTATACATCCACATACTATTAAAATATACATGTACATATATATATATATATAAAATCATGAGTTCATAGTGAATACCTCCAATTCTATTCCTCCCCTTTCCATTGTGTATAGGTTGTACCAATTTTCATTGTCATTAGCAACTAAAAAGTACTATATTGAAGACAGTTTGGCAGTATCTTACAAAACTAAACATACTTTTACCCTGCCATCCAGCAATCATGCTCCTTGGTATCTACCCAAAAGAGTAGAAAACTTATATTCACACAAAAACGTACACACAGATGTTTATAGCAGCTTAATTCATAGTTGCCAAAACTTGGAAGCAACAAAGATATCTTTCAGTGGGTGAAAGGATAAATAAACTGTGGTACATTCAGATGACGGAATATTACTCAGCAAAGAAATGAGCTATCAGACCAAGAAAAGACATGGAGGAAACTTTAATGCATATTACTAAGTGATAGAAGCCAATCTGAAAAGGCCACAACCTATATGATTCAAACTATATTTAAACAAAACCATGGAGATAGTAAAAACGGTCAGTGGTTGCCAGGGGTTGAGGGTGCAGGTGGGGCTGGGAGTGGGGGCTGAGGGTAGGGGGAGGGAGAAACAGGTGATGCATAGAGGATTTTTAGGGCAGTGAAACTATTCTTTATGATACTATAATGGAGGATACGTGTTATTACATATTTGTCCAAATCCAGAGAATGTACAATGCCAAGAATGAGCCCTAAAGTAAACTGGACTTTAGGTGATTATGTGTCAATATGGGCTCATCAGCTGTAACAGATGTACCATCCTGGTGGAGGATGTTGATAATGAGAGAGGCAATGTATATACTATAAGAACCAAGAATATATGGTAAATCTCTGTACCTTCCTCTCAATTTTGCTATGAACTTAGAACTGCTCTAAAAATATAAAATGTCTTTAAAAAGTACTGTACTTTCCAATTTTTGCCAATCTGATCTGAGAAA